AGACCAGACCAGACCAGACAGACAGACAGACAGACAGACAGACACACACACACACACACTCTAGTGTAAAGGCCTTACCGATTGGAATAGGCTTCGGGTGATAATTTGACACTATGTTAGACGTACAACCAGAAACCCTCAGGAACAGCAGTGGTAATAGTCGTTTGACTTAGGCCCCTACAGTACCCTGAACCCGAAACCCTCAAAGTCTAAGAGCCCTAAACCCTTAAAACTCTAAAACCCTAGAATCCTAAAGACCTTCTAGAAAACTCTAACCCCCCCAAAAAAGAAAAAGTCCATGGAGAAACCGAAGAGCCTGCTCTTCTCGGGTCATGCCCTCACCGTCTGCCAGGGGCTCTGAGTCTTTCATCTCCCCCTGCGCAGGTGGCAGAGAAGGGTTTAGGGTCTAGGGTTTAGGGTTTAGGGTTTAGGGTTTGGGTTTAGGGTTTAGGGTTTAGGGTTAGGGTTTAGGGTTTAGGATTTGGGTATAGGGTTTAGGGTTTGGGTTGGGTGTAGGGTTTGAGGTTTAGGCTGGATTCGGGGTTTAGGGTTTAGGGTTTGGGTTGGGTATAGGGCTTGGGGTTTAGGGTTTGGGTATAGGGTTTAGGGTTTAGGGTTCAGGGTTTGGGTATAGGGTTTAGGGTTTAGGGTTTAGGGTTTAGGGTTTGGGTATAGGGTTTAGGGTTTAGAGTTCAGGGTTTGGGTCTAGGGTTTAGGGTTTAGGGTTTGGGTATAGGGTTTAGGGTTGCTTCGGAATGTGTTCGATGTTACGGCACCGTTGCTTTCGGAGACACATTCCACAGGAACCGGGCCAGCTCCACCCGTACATCACGGAACATCGCTGCTGCTGCTCGGCTAACGTGCCGAGGAGTGAGTCGAAGCCGAACCCGAAAGCACCGCGGGGCAGGCGGCTTCTCCCTGCTCGAGATCCCTAAACCCTAAACCCTAAACCCTAAACCGTGGGTTTAGGGTTTAGGGTTTATGGTTTAGGGCTTAGGTTTGGGGTGCTCAAGCCGCTCTTTTGGGAGACCATGCTCGACACATGCATCACTTCAACTAAGCCATAGTCACGGTCTAAGCACGCAGTACCGCTCGCCGGGCCGCCCGGACTGCCGCCAAGACTCGACGTTGCGGTGATTGCCACCTTGGGAATCCGAAACCATCTGTTTTGAGGGGTCTTACGCAATTAGGGTTGAAGCAATGAAGGCTTGCCTCAACCCATAACCATTACCCCGAAACCCTGAAACACATTGCCAAAAAATACAAGCGCCTAAAGCCTATGCCACAACACCCTGCCTCCCCAAAGGTAAGCTTCAGCACTTCCCGAAAAACACGTGTCTGCACAATCGTGTGAGGGATTTGGGCCTGACATCACCAAACTCAAAAACAAAACCTAAACTTAGGGGGCTGAGTACACTATGGGGCCTATGGGTAAGCACAAGCAACCAAAGCGGATCCCCTAAGCTGGTTTCGGGTTTAGGGTTTTGGGATACTAAACTCTAAACCGGAAGCCCCTTAACCGCAACCTTCAACCCCCTAAACCTTAAAACCCCGAACCCTCCCCCTCCCAAAAAAAACACCTGAACAAGAAAACCCTAAAACCCTGAACCCTAAACCCTAAACCCCCCCCAAAAAACCCAAAACACCTAAACCCCTAAACCCTAAAACCCTAAACCCCCCAAAACCCAAAAAACACCTAAACACCTAAACCCCTCAACCCTAAACCCTAAACCCTAAAGGCGGATTTGCCCCGAGAGCCTCCGGTGAAAGCAGGGCCGCCGCCTCCTCGACAGCTTCGGCCTCGACCAAAGCCTGCAGTCGGCTTAGGCGCCTTTGGGGGTTTAGGGTTTAGGGTTTAGGGTTTAAGGCTTAGGGCTTATAGGGTTTAAGGCTTAGGGCTTATAGGGTTTAGGGTTTAGGGCTTAGGGTTTATAGGGTTTAGGGTCTTAGGGTTTAAGGCTTAGGGTTTATAGGGTTTAGGGTTTAGGGTTTAAGGCTTAGGGTTTAT